AATTTTGAACCTATATTTACTTTACATATGAGAACGTTATAAAAAGTAATGTATATTAATAAATCATAGGTCAAATTTAATCCGTTTTGAATTTGTTGACGACTTTGCTAATTTATCTCGGCTGTTGATTAGAACAGCTAAAACATTAAAAACGATATAGACTTCTAAATATAATTCTGTAAAATTTTGATTTATTTGAACGTTGAATTGCCAGTTTTAATAAAATCAATTCTCATCATTGTGTTGAGGCGTAAAAAACAAAAATTCCATTTCGAAATTGAAATAAATAATTTTTATCAAGAAACAAAACGAAAACTCTTGTTATGAACCGCAACCATTTTCTTCTGAAGCAAAGCAAAGGAATTCTTTAAGTTTCACACCAGGTCTACCTAAAGTATTAATGAACTAGAACTTTTCACCTACCTCGCTACTTCTGGCTACTACGTTTTTTCATAGTTTCTACCGTGTCCCAACACCGATAAAATATTCAAAATGTTAAGATCATTTTTCCATTTCTAAAAAAATACAAAGAGAGGAAAAGAGTGGGAGACAACGTAAGCATGGACATATAGAAACGAACAAGAACCAGCCGAGAGTAAGAAGGAGAGGTGATAGAAAAACTACTAATGAAAAAGAGAGAAATATAAAAGATGCTAGATAGATAAATAAGCAGACCAATAAATTATAAATAGATATATAAATAAATAAGAGAAAAGAAGAGAGAAAGAAAAAAGAAACAAAGAGACAGAGAGATAGAGACATAGCTAGGTAGATAGATAAAAAATAGAAAGAGAAAGAGAGAGGAGAAGATAAATAAATACAGATAAATGGATAAGAGAGAAAGAGAGAGAGAGGGAGAGAGAGAGCGGAAGAAGAAAGAGTAAAGAGAGAGAGAGAGAGAGTAAAACAGAGAGAGAGAGAGAGAAATGCATTGTAGATAAATAGATATATATACATATATAAATAGATAGAGGTAGATAGATGGAGATAAATGAATTAGTAAGTAGAGGAAGAGGTAGTTAGATTGGGGAGAGCATTGTCAAGAAAAGAGAGACAGGTAGATAAACAGAGAGGGAGAGAGAGAGAGAGAGAGAGAGAAAGAGAGAGTGTAAAAAAGAGAGAGAAATGCATAGTAGATAAATAGATAAATATATAGATAAATAGATAGAGGTAGATAGATTGGGGGAGAGCATTGTTACGAAAAGAGAGGCAGGACCAGAGAGAGAGAGATATTGTGGTGGGAGAAAGAGAGGGGAAAAAGAAAGAATAAAAAGAGAGAGAGAGAGAGATTGTGGAGAGAGAAAGAGAGAGAGAGAGAGTAAAAAAAGGGAGAGGGAAATGCATAGTAGATAAATAGTTATATACATAAATAGATTGATGTAGATAGATGAAGATACATGAATTAGTAGGTAGATATAGAGGTAGAAAGATTGGGGGAGAGCATTATTAAAAAAGGAGAGGCAGGAAGAAAAGCAGAGAGAGAGAGAGAGAGAGAGAGAGAAAGAGGGAGAAAGAGAGAGAGAGTGAGAGAGTAGAGAGGCTAAACAAGGGAGCATAGCACAGAATAAGAACGAGAAGAAAAAGAGCCGAGAGAAAAAAACGTACGAGTGAAAAAAAGAGAAATATACACAAATAGAGATAGATACATAGATAAATAAGTAGGCAGGATGATAAAAAATATATATATAGCTAAATAATAAATGAGAGAGCGAGAGAGAGTGAGTAATAGAGGGTGAGAGAGAGAGAGAGAAGAGAGGTATAAAGTGTTATGGAATTATTGATACAATGATACCAACCAACAATACTTATTTTAATAGTAGTTTGCATAATTACAAGGTAAACACTGGAGGGTTTTTTTATTATTCTTGTATAATGAGTTGAATTCTTAATTAGATATAACGCTTCGTTTGGAGCCTATTGAAAAGAAAATATTTTGCTTTGTTTGTTGAAATGTCCTTTCATGAAGCTGTTATTTTTTTCTTGAAGTGTTATTCGAACTGCCGACCACTGTTGAGATACAAAGTTCAAAACAATCAGCGAATGGATTGAGTTACCCAAATTTATAGGAAAGGTCCTTTAAAAGATAACAACGTTCGGATTCATCGAGAACAAAGAGAAACCGGGACGCAATATCGGTCTGTACCACAGAGACCATCAGCCGGATTAGATCAATCATGATCAGAAGGAATCGGTCGTGTAGAAATTTCAACAAACGGGCGACATTTCGCTGTTCCTGCGGTGAAAAGCTGCCTAAGCCCGGGTGTGCCGTGGCCCAAAGCTGTTTTCATATTCAAACCACGATGCGGTCCAACTCGAAAGTGTGGCCCTGGATTGGTAGAAGGCTTTTCCCAAATAGACGTGTGATATTTTCTCCCCAACGCGGGCAAAGCACGCAGTTTAGGGAATTTTGAATAATTCGCACGTCGTCGCCGAATGAACGTTACCAGCCGCTAATGTAGGAAATGGGCCGGCCGCCTTCCAGAGAGAACAAATAAGGCATCGGCTATTTCCGAGCCCCCCAACAAACAAATCCCGGGTTTCGTGTTAACGCCGGCTCCCCCTTGTGATTTACGACAAGTCAACACAACAATTAATTTTAGCTTTCTAAACCTTTCTAACGTTTATAATTTTATTTTAATAGAATGGAATTAGAATACATTAGAATTAGAATGGAATATAATACAAAATAGGCAAAGGTCGTTGGTTCGAGTCCCTCTCGTGACACTAATTTTTATTCCCAACCGTCTTGCATAAAAATTGAAAATAATATTACAAAGTGTTTTTGTTAAATAATTGAGTTGACCTTTTAAATAACAGTAAAATAAGCTACTAATACCAGAATAAAATTTAACTAAATTTACAATATCGGATATATTGCGGTCCTGTTTCAACATTTTAATCGTTTATTTGAAAATGATGAGATCAATTGAAAAAAGACGAACTGTCAATTAGAAAATGATCAGGAGCGAAGTCAATTTTATTTTTAAAAAACGGGCTGGATATAGCAACAATAATAAGTAGAGGATCAAGGATTAGGCTATCCAAATTATATATAAGAAAACGAACAGTAAAGAGGCCAATGACACATCAGAAAAAGATTAGGGACTAAGCAATATATATATAAGAAAACGATTAGTGATGAGTCAATGACAAATTAGAAAAAGTTAAGGGATTAAGTAAATTATATATAAGAAAGCAATTAGCGATGAGGCCAATGACACATTAGAAAAAGATTAGAGATTAAGCAAATTATATATAAGAAAACAGTGATGAGGACAATGACAAATCAGAAAAAAACAGGGATGAAACAAATTATATATAAGAAAACGATAAGTGATGAGGCCAATGACACACCTAAAAAAGATTAGGGATTAAGCAAATTATATATAAGAAAACAGTGATGAGGACAATGACAAATTAGAAAAAAACAGGGATGAAACAAATTATATATAAGAAAACGATAAGTGATGAGGCCAATGACACACCTGAAAAAGATTAGGGATTAAGCAAATTATATATAAGAAAACGAACAGTAAGGAGGCCAGTGACACATCAGAAACAGATCAGGGATTAAGCAAATTATATATATGAAAACGATCGGTGAGGAGGCCAATGACACATCAGAAAAAATATTAGGGATTAAGCCAATTATATATAAGAAAACGATTAGGGATGATGCCACATTAATAAAATGATATCAGGGATGAAGCAATGACTATAATTATTTATAAGAAAAATGCCAGAGTTGAGCTCAACATATTGGGAAACTATTAAGGTTCATTAACCCAATTATATATTACAAAAAGATCAGGGATTAAGCAAATTAAGTACAAAAAAACGAGGGTCTGATAATGATATTATTAAAATAATAGAGAAGGTGATTATTAAATAGAAAATGATCAGGAATGGAGCATATATTAAATAATATTATATAATAAAAAATATTACGGATGACACAAATTAATTTTTAAAAATCAGTAATTAAGCGAATTAATTACATATAAAAAAGCGATGGGATGAGTCCGATATATATTTGAAAACTATGGGGGATGAGGTCGATTTATATTCAAAAAATATTAGCAAAGAAGACAAATTATACATAAAAATATCAACGATGGGACTAATTAGATATTAGGAAAAGGTCGGGATAAGACCAATTTATTGATAAAAATATCAGGAATGAGACTAATTTATATTATAAAAAGAACAGATATAAAACTAATTTATATGAGAAAAGATCAGAGAGGAGAAATTTATATGAGTAAAAGGATGTCTAATTAAAAAGAAAAGATCCAACATTAGGTCATTTATATATTCATGTATTTTTTTGAGTAGAAAATTCGTCTAAATACAGGAAAAAAGCTGGTTGGTATTTCGTAACAATTTTCAATATTTTGCCCATTTTTTCTAAAGAAAACATTGATTTGAAAGGAAGCACTTATTAAAGGTTTATTTTATTCAATTGAAATGATTTAGGAAAAAATGAAATCGATCTTGCTCCGTTCATTTTATGAAACTAAACATGTACATAATTACTAGGTCCTCAAATTAAAAATTTAAACTCTTTTATCTATTACCTATTTTAGTAATCGTAAAATTAAGTCAGTAAAGAAAAGTACAAATTTTTGACAATTCTAGTCACTTTTGTAAGCATGAAATGAAGATTTTGCCATCATTCAAGAAATGCTGACGTCGATTGTTTTTCTATTCATTTATTTTTTAATTTGTTCAATAAAGTCAAACAATTTTTAAACGCTATTTTTTAAAGTGGCAGACAAATATTTGCCCGAAATTTCGACCAATTAGTAACAATTCATAACCAGGCATCTGTAAATTTGGGTTATTTTCCACGTTTTAACGCCCGCCTTGTAATCACCACATGAGCCCTGAGGGCGTTTCTAGATTAAACTTAGACTGCCGTCTGGGTTTTTTATTTTGGTTCTAATTTTACAATTTTGTTTTCAAAAAGTTTAATAATGTTTTTCGTTGATTTATTACAGGCAAACACGATGATGTTTCCAATGTGCTGATAGAAGGAGCCTTCGTCGGGCTAGTGCGGGTCTCGACATAAGTGAAAAGGGTAAGTAAAGTACATCTAATATTTAAACAAGAAAAAATGACGATATTAAAGACGTTTCTTTAAAAACCGGTCGTAAAAAAGTTATAACACGTGTTTACTGCTATTAGTTTACAAAATACCTTTTGCTAGGTGTAAGAATCCTTATTTATAGTATGTAACGGCGGGGTGAATTTTTGTTTTTAAGTAATAAAAGGCCATATCGTTTCTCATTTCCCTTGTTTACCTAATAAAGAGTGTTGACACTCTATTCCGGCTTGTTGACATTTTGGCATTCACTGTTGAGAACATTTGGCGTGGAAGAGAGGGACTTTGAATAGAATATCGATTGGGTATTTGAGAAATCTAGCACTATAGGCGTAAAAAATAAAAAGAAATTTTTCATCTATAAAAAATAAATAGAAGTACGACAACAAGAAAGGAAAAATAGTCAATAATTATATGTTTGATCGTACATAAATAATATTTTCTCTCATAATTCATAAATGTTTACATAATAGTAATCAAAATTGTTCAACATAAAGTAATTATCATCTAAAAGGTTTAAAAATCCCAAGTTATCCGTGGTTGAAATATTTTATTTATTTTGCCTTTTCTACACATTTTACCTACTTTATGTTATCATCTTTTTCTTAAAATCCACGGTTTGTAGCAATTATTATCCAAAAGCTTACGGCCCATCATCAGCATCTAAACATGGAAAATAGTATGGTACGCCTCTCGAAGATACACGCGTAAGTAATTTACAAAAAATAAATATACCTGCACTATGCCATAGATACATACATGTTTCCATCCCATTTTGAGGAGCCTCCCCTTCTTAATAAATTGATAAAAACCAATAATCACCATCTAATAGTTAGACGGTCACGCGGATAAGGGCGGATAGCGGATAGTACTGATGATGGGCCCCGAAACGTACATGTAATATATATATTATGCAGGGTGGGTGACCAAGACCCGAGGGGTTAAATGCCTGAGTAGACTCGTACCCCATCCTTAAAAGATCCGGGACTTGGTCGGCTCACGTGTCCTGCATAAATCTCTTGGACCTGTTCACAAACCCCAAGATTTTGGACCATTTAATCTCGGGGAGTGGTTTGGTGATGTCCTCTCCTTCTAAGATTTCACATCTAGACCTAGCATACCTATCACACTCTGCGAGGTAGTGCCTTGCCGTTTCTTCTTTTATTTCGCAAAAACGGCAAAAGGGATCTGGTAGGATACCCATTACGAAGAGGTGCCTTCTCAGTGGGCAGTGGCCCGTCAGAATATCTAACAGCCTCCTAATTCCCTTCCTTGAGTTAAAGAATAGTCATTTCGATTCTGCTGGTTTGATTTCCTTAACAAACTCTTTCGATTGCCTGTGTCCAAAGGATAGATTCCATTCCTTAAGGAATTGTTTCATACCCCAGTTTTTAATACTCTCTTTCGCTGTGCTCATAGAGTGAGGTAATACCGGTTGTGGCCCGACAAACGCAGTATTAGAACCTTCTTTGTCTAGGCCATCCGCCTCTTACCTTGTTCTCTACCAGGGTTACCTTGTTCTCAAACCTGGAAGAGATCCTATTGAAAAGATCTACGGTTTCCTCCACCAGTCTTGAGGTTGACAAATCTTTTTCTAATGACCTAAGGCTAGCCTGCCTGTCAGAAAAAATTCTAATATCTTTTATCTTAATGTTATTTTCCACAAGTGTTTTGCAACACACATTATTGGCCCAGATTTCTGTCTGAAAAACTGAGTTGTTATTAACAAGAGGAGAGGAGATGCTGATTCCTAATTTTGGTATGTAGATTCTTGCACCACTCCCTCTACCTTTGTTATGTTAACCATCTGTGTAGCAGTCTATGTTACGATGGTCATCATATAAACTATAATCATAATCACAAGGGGTGACTACCTACTGCTTTTTCCTCGAAGGGCTAGTTAATAGGCTAGTTAATAGGCCAGTTAATAATTGGCCGTTAGCAGTACTCAATAGTTGTAAGATTTTCGAGTGACCTATGTTATTGCACTTATGATTCCAGATGCCTTTGCTAGTTAATCTGTAGCAGCTGATTAATGCTCTGACCTTAGCTTCAATGTGGAGAGGTGTGGTATTGGTTATGATTTCAAGTGCTACGGTGGGTGTAGTAGAAAATGCTCCTGTACCTAGTCTTTGAAATGACCTTAATTTGTTACTATTCCCTTTATTTTCTAGACTTTTCCACCATACACATGTAATAGATAGAATAAATAAAATATTTCAACCACGGATAACTTGGGAATTTTCAACCTTTTGGATAATAATTGCTACAAACCATAAATTTAAGAAAAAGATGATAACATAAAGTAGGTAAAATGCGTAGAAAAAGCAAAACCAGCGTCTTGCCTCTCCCTGTTTACAACCCTGACGAAATTGATTGTGTACATATCATATGTAAACAAAATGAGTTTAATGTTAATTAAATAATATTTTTCCTTCAAATTTCAATAGAATTTTTAGGAAAAGTAATGAAAATCTTTCGACGTATCCAAAATTGACAGACATGTCGGGACTCAGCGCTATCGACTATCCTTAATTATTACCCTGACGTGACATCAGGACTATCAATACCAAAAACTGCAGGTTGAAAAATAAGTGGATGTGAAATACTTGTTGACTTGTTAAACAAAATCATATTTGCCCCTTGCTTTTCCCTGGTTGTACATTGCGCTACAGTATACAGCACACGAAGAAAGGCAGGAAAAAACAAATATGATGTGAAGAAAGAAAACTATAAAATTTAAACTCGTAGACCTAAATGAATATAATAATATAACACACATGGACATTAATGTTCAATCTATTGGGTTAAAATTAAGAAATTTAATATATACTGTTTGTTTTACTTTAAAGCCTCAGAGCAAAAGTTAAGCTCTCGGCTTTTGCCAAAGTGCACCAATTTATGCTAAATAGACCATGCCTACTCTCTAATTCATGTCGCATTTGTTAGTCGAGTTTGGAAGACTATTTGATGGAATGGGCCTTCTGATGAAGCCGTTAATAATAAAGTTCGCCCTTTCCGAATCCGCTAAATTCAAGTATAATCTTCTTTGGGTAAGGTCTGCATTTAGAAGTGGTTAATGGAGGCTTTCCATCTTGATCGCCTCCGAACTGTTATTATAGATAATCCAATTTTCATCATCGCTAATGTTTCGTGAAATTGATTGATTTATTGCTCCTTTAAAATCCAAAAGCGCATATCTTGAATTTACAATCTAAAATGCTGAAGAATTATTTTTCGAAAATCTATGTTTTTTCTGCAATTTCTTTTCCAACAAATATTATTGGGTTTTTTTTGTAATTTTTCATAATGTGCCAATTGTAATAGAACAATAAAACACATTAAAATTGCAGTTATTGTTTTGATAAGTTCAGAAAACTCAATGGAGTATTAAATAACAACTGCACATAGACTTAATGTAGATAAGGTTTACGTTTTATAATGAATCCAATGTTGTTTTTATAATAAAATATAAATAAGTATTAAATTCATTAGATTTCGTGGTCCGATTGACCAAATAACATCTTTCAATTAATTAATTTTTATGTAAGGTATTGGTTGGAATAAAAAAGTCAATGTCACGAGCGGGATTCGAACCCATGACCTTCGGCTAAATACGCCGCTGCTCTACCATTTATGCTATCGTGACTTTGATCCACTCGAACACCAACTTCCCATCTCAACCCAACCTTTCGAATTTTACCTCGTTTTTGCCATTTCTCAATAATTATATTACATCATTTTTCTATTTTCGTTGATGTGTTTGAGAAAACGTTTCCGTTTAACGTGCTCATCAGATGATCTGCCAATAAATCAGAGTAAGCCAGGAGAGCTTGCAAAAATCCGAATCGCATTGACATACATTGAAAAGATACGTGATCATTTTTCCAAATTACAGTCAACTCTCTTCAAGTCAACCATGTTTTATATACATTTTTTTGTAAGCAAAAAATAATTGATATATTTTATTTATGGTTCAACTTAACATTCTTTGCGTCACCGATCTGCAGCTTCAACTTCAACTTACAAAACGCGTTACTGTTATACTTCGATTACTACTTAGTGTGATAAGAGGTAAGCACCTCTTAAGCAAAGTGGCTTTAAATAAGACGTTTAGATTAGATCGTTCTTGAAGCCCTGGACGAGTTAAGTCTACAACGCCAAAGTTCAATGCATGCGTCAATGATTTAGAACAACTTTCTTAATTTAACGATGAACTAGATTATCGACCTGCTGGATACAAGAAGTCTTTTCAGAGGATCTTCGGAAGAGGTCAAAACAGAGAAAACTTCCTTACGGTTTTCGCCGAGCTTTCGACAGTTTTATACTGTCATCTTCAGGGCCTGTTTTATTATCATATGAACAAGCAATTAAAACATGAAAAAACAATAATTACAACAATAATTGGATTGTTACTTACTTTATAAAGGAGGATTTGATTGGTTTTTTAGACTTATATGAGGTAACCTTTCTCGACCACGTTTTTTAATTTTTATTTTTACTGTAATTTTAGCTATAATTTTTAATTATTAATGTATTTAATTTAAATTAATGTTTAGATGCTGAGTCCCAAAAAACATAACGTACTTCTGTGCCCAAAACACCGTGTTGTTTAATTTCCTATTAAGGTTTTAAAGTAAGATATCCAATTATTGTTGTAATTATTGTTTTTTCATGTTTTAATTGTTTGTTCATATGATAATAAAACAGGCCCTGAAGATGACAGTATAAAACTGTCGAAAGCTCGGCGAAAACCGTAAGGAAGTTTTCTCTGTTTTGACCTCTTCCAAAGATCCTCTGAAAAGAACTTTCTTAACTGTTAAAACATATTATTTTATTTATTAAAATTCAACAGAGAAGCAAAAATATAATAAGTTCAATGAAAAATATTCTGTTTGTCGATGATTATTCAGAAATCGTGAGATGCGGTCTGGTGTGATGTAGTTTTCCGAAAAACATTTTCTTTATCGTGCCAA